TCCATTGCTGAGACACTGATGCAATGCTACATTTCTCCAAATCTGATGAAGAGACAAACTCATCCTAATCTTGGACGGCCTGAGAGTGAGTAAATCAGCATATTTTCATTAATTTTTGCCCAAACTATTCCTTTAATATAAAAGAAAAGACACACACCACCTCAATCTGAGTTCGATTTAAATGTCATTTTTATTCAGTGACAAACCTCTTCCCACATGAAAACAGGCAGATACGTTCCTAAAATCACATCCCGCTAATGATAATGATTTCTTCACACTTTCTGAATGGCCTTACTAACACTGACATGCTTCACAATAGTTTTTGAGTTGTTGTCCTGATTTAAACAGCAAGGCCTTTGACTGAAATGCCAAACGGAGAGCCTCAAAAAAAAAAGCACAATGTCAAATGTTTTTCTTTATATCACTGTAATTTTAGTCTAGCCTTTGCTAATTTATATGAAACCAAGTGTTATTATATCTAATGCGCAGCACCTGATTGAGGTGTTGCTTGTGTAACCTGTATTAAAGCCCCTTTAAAGTGTGCCACGGTGGACGGAGGGTCTTTTTGACTCCCAAACGTATCTTATATCTGGAGATCCACCTCAAAAAGTGCACAGAGGTATATTTGAAATGCTAATGTTGCATGAGATCGCCTTTAAATTCAGAGGACGCAAAGAGTGTGTTTGTAGGGTGGGTATTCAAAATGATATTGTGTTCTAAACGCTTGATATTTACTTTTATAATAGCGCTACTGCTTCATGTGTTGTAAGTGAGAATGAGGGTTTGTTGGTTTTACAGGCGAATGGAGTCCAGCTGATTTCTACAGAATTACGGTACAAATAAACCCCAACATGTAAATTGTCTTTTACATAATATTATTAATAATATGATTATAAAAACATAACTTGCATGGACTGATTACCCTATTTAAGTATTAGAACTTTGAGATATCTTGTAATGGAATCAATGCCTAAATGTATGGATTTGTTGGTGCTTTTCTGCACTTTTCTCTTTTAGAAGTCTGAATGTGTAGATCTGTGCAGTTGTACAATTTATTTATTTTTTACACAAAGTGTTAAATGTATTTATTTTCCTTAGCTTTTAATAATGTGTGTATGAAACTGTATGCATTTTGGTTGTATGTATTCGTTTATTTTTGTTATTTTCATGTACAGCACTTTGGTACCCATTGTGGTTTATGAAAGTGCTCTAGAAATAAAGCTGAGTTGAGTAAAGTAAAAAAGTAAGTTAAAGTAAAAGTGGTTTACGATCGAATAACAAATTCGTTCAGCTTGTGTTTCAGAAATGAGACCCAAGAAAATTAGCACATTAATTACGCCATTAAAAATTAAAACAGAACATTAGTGTTCCGATAACATTGTTATTTGCGAAAAATAATAATTCTCAGAGAACACTAGTAAGTGATTTTGAGAAAAGAATATTTCAAATATAAATATTTTAGATAGTTTTATTTTATTTTGCCATCTAAAATATATTTATATACGTTTTAGAATATTCGGATTAAACGCAAATGCACTTTTTTTGTTATCAAAAAGAAAAGTCAGTCGCTAATTGACGTAATCGTCATGGCAACAGGAAACTTAATTGAACTACGTGTAGATCTGTGCAGTTGTACAAATTAATAAACATGTTAAAACTGTCTGCATTCGATATCTAGTGTGCTTGCATTGTAAGAATGGTGTGCTTGATTTGATGTTTGCGCTGACAATAACAAACCTTTGAAAAAGTTTAAAATAGAATTACGTAGTGAAATTGTGTTGTCAAGGGAGACACCTCGTGGTACAACAGAGTATTGCACACTAATTATTTTAAAATAACTAGGAGACAAATTCATGAGAACCTTGTTTATGTACACTATATATATATATATATATATATATATATATATGTTGAGATTTTTTTATTATATATATATATATTATTTATTTATTTTTTACACAAAGTGTTAAATGTATTTATTTTCCTTAGCTTTTAATAATGTGTGTATGAAACTGTATGCATTTTGGTTGTATGTATTCGTTTATTTTTGTTATTTTCATGTACAGCACTTTGGTACCCATTGTGGTTTATGAAAGTGCTCTAGAAATAAAGCTGAGTTGAGTAAAGTAAAAAAGTAAGTTAAAGTAAAAGTGGTTTACGATCGAATAACAAATTCGTTCAGCTTGTGTTTCAGAAATGAGACCCAAGAAAATTAGCACATTAATTACGCCATTAAAAATTAAAACAGAACATTAGTGTTCCGATAACATTGTTATTTGCGAAAAATAATAATTCTCAGAGAACACTAGTAAGTGATTTTGAGAAAAGAATATTTCAAATATAAATATTTTAGATAGTTTTATTTTATTTTGCCATCTAAAATATATTTATATACGTTTTAGAATATTCGGATTAAACGCAAATGCACTTTTTTTGTTATCAAAAAGAAAAGTCAGTCGCTAATTGACGTAATCGTCATGGCAACAGGAAACTTAATTGAACTACGTTTCCCAGAAGGTACAGCGCGTCAACCGCTCAACTCCTATTGGCTGCCTTAGTGTAGTCGTCATCAGCGTGCAGTTAGACATGACGCGAGCGCGTCCGACACTCATCACAACTCCGCGGTGCTCGTCGGGTTGTCGGTGCGTTGCGTTCGGTCGTGTGCGCAGCCCGTTAAGCGTCGGTGTCTGGATCCAGCCGTCCGTCCATGAGAAGCGCAGCAGCGGCGCTGTTTCCGTGTGTCGTCGCGGTGCTGCTCCACTGGTTCGGCTGGACGGACAGAACTGCGCTCCTGTTGGGCTTCGGCTCCGCAGGTACCGCTCAACTTTCTGTTCTTCTCTATTAGTCTGTTATTGTCAGGCATGACAGCTTGTGCTGAGTAGAAACTGTTTCGGTGTGACCTCTACATGAGACAGATGCTGAATGCATACAGTAGATTAATAGACAACAATTAATGCATAGAAATTCTTACTACTCCTTACTACTATATCTACCATATATAATGTATAGACCATTAATGCATAGAATTTTAATGCTGAGTGCGTGTAAAATGCATAAAAATAAATGCATTATGATCAATGCATAAAAAATAACATTAATAATGTTCGCTCATAGGACATTAATGATAAATTATTATTGGAAAATGAATGCATATTCACATATATTATACACATATATTAAAGTTCCATATGCATTCAGTATTAATGGTCTACACATGAATCTATCTATATCTATCTATCTATCTATCTATCTATCATCATTTAGTATAATTTATAGACTGATGCATATGCATATGGGACTTTAATGATCAATATATAAAGAACATTATTACTCAGTTCTTATAGAACAATGAATACTTTTATATATATAAAAGCATAAAATTTAAATAAATGCTCAGTGCATACATATATATATATATATATATAGTGTGTTGTGTTTATATATAAATACATAATGCCCAGTGCATATAGAACTTTAATGTTGACTGCATGCATAAGAGCATTAATATTGAATGCATTGACCATTGCACTTTAAGGATCTATAAGCATGTTGAACAGCTTGCAGTAATTTACTTATTTATATCAGTAATGGGCTCTGCTGGGGGGTTGAGATGTGCAATTAATGCATTAGATGAAGGCTGCATTAGTGTGCTGTGCACGCAGATGCCGGCCGCTTGTTAACCACAGTGATTGGATTGAAGAAAGTATTGGATTTGAACGTGTACAATAGAAGAGAGAGTGTAGAAAGTACCTGAGATCTCACTGAACTCTGGGAGAGATTTACCTGGCAACAAAGGCACAGATGCACATTACACACTTACTCTGATGTTTGTCACACATGGTGGAATAGGACACAAGTGACAATCCATTAAGGGATACAAAAGGCCGCTGCCAGAGACTTTCATCTGGCTGCATCATCTGCTCTGTGTTTGAGCCTTCAACCTGCCGGAAAAGCCTTTTTAAAGGAGCAGTTCACCCAAAAATTTAAATTTGCTAAAAATCCTCAGGCCATGTAATATGCAGATGAGTTTGTTTCTTCATCAGATTTGGAGAAATGTAGCATTGCATCAGTGTCTCAGCAATGGATGCTCTGCGGTGAATGGGTGCCGTCAGAATGAGAGTCCAAACAGCTGATAAAAACATCACAATAATCCACAAGTAATCCACAGCACTCCAGTCCATCAGTTCACATCTGGAGAAGACAAAAGCTGAAACAAATCCAGCATTGAGATGTTTTTAACTAAAATACGAGTCTATAATCCATAATAACGCTTCCTCCAGTGAAAAAGTGTTCTGGTGTGAATCAGGAGAGAAATCTGCACAGATCAAGCAGCGTTTAAACAGCTCTAAACTAATATGTGGCTGGATTTTGATGTGAGAGACGACAGGAGATGCAGTTTTTCACCAGAGGAAGAGTTATTATGGATTATAGACTCGTATTTCAGCTGGAAACGATGGTTTGAAGTTAAAAACGTCTTAATGCTGGATTTGTTTCAGCTTTTGTCTTCTCCAGATGTTAACTGATGGACTGGAGTGCTGTGGATTA